CAATGTGGGAACTGCTGACCGTATCAGGCACGTCCTTTGACTCAGCAAAATCTTCTGGCTTATTGGCGCCCTGGCAACTAGAGGTCTCTTCCTGCTTTGCACCACTGCTCTGAGTGGGAGAGTTTGTTGGCAAGTTGATGCCAGCTAACTCACATTCCTCAGGTTCTACCTCAACAGGAGCCTCCTCTTCCTGATCAGCGTCTGCTTTGCAAGGCGCTTCAGCAACTTTGGCGACCTTTTCAGCCAAGATACGCTGATGTCTTCGGAGCTTGCGCTGAATTGTCCTGCAAATGTCATGCGTGCGCACTAACCTTCAGAGAGGTGCAAAACCTTCACCCCTTGTGTTTCCTATGTCACTGCACCGCACGGCCAAGTGTACCCGACAATTCATAACCCCTAAAAAACGGTTTTGTTCCAAACATGCAAAAAAAATCATCTTCAACGGCACTGCCAACCATCCTGATGTCATGGTGTTGGACGAGTTCGCTGGGCGAAGGGGGCGAAGGGGTCCCTTGGTCAACCTCGTGAAGAAACATGGTTCCTGTGTCTTCCTGCAAATGTGAACTTCCATGGTTTTGGGACGTCCGCAGTGTTCCTTGCTGGTTGGACATGAGGAATTTGAGTCGGTCGGGGGCTGTGGAGTTGGGAGAGTTGGGGTCTGGTTGCTTACTGCGTTTGAACCGTTTCTTCTCGAAAAGAAGAAGCTCGGATCGCTTTGTCAGAAGCAAAAACCATCAAAGGCCCTTGTCTGGTGCAGAAGTCAGGGATTGCGTGCTGGCATCCTCAGAGCAATTGTGATTTTGAGACCACGCATTCCTGAACTAGATTTACAAACATACCAAAAGCAATCGCAAGAAAAGCTGCAGTACTACAGGAAAACACTCCTGTCAACACGTCATGTCTTTACTGTATAGTTCTTTGTATTATTCATCCAGTTGGTAACATCAACATCCTCCATCGACCCCCTGTCCTGGCAGCTCTGCACTCTTTCACCAGCTGAACTTGTGCCAGCTGGCACCTGCCAGTTGAATATGCTGAAAACTGGAGAAAACGAACCATGCAAATCCCTTCCTCCAGTGATTAACTTACCCTTTTTTTCCCTCGTTGTTCGTAGTTGGCCGGCTAGAAACCCCTCACTTAGGTCAGGCACAACTATCAGGCCTATGATCGGGCAGGGAGAAAAACTGCGCATGTGAGACCTTCGTGAGACCTGCTTCTGCTGCTTCTGCTGGGCTTTCGACTGCCCAACCAGGTGTGCTGGGGTCACCTGGTCAGTTGGGGTCGCCTGGTCTCTGGCGGTGTCTCTCGTTCGTCAGCTTGTCTTCACTGCCGCAAACGCACAGGGAACAGGCTGTCAAGCTGTTGTGAGACCGCCTCTTCGTTCAGCATTCGTTCAGCACAGAACCTAGTCTTCTGTGGTTTTTCCTGTTTGGGGTCTAAGCCTACGGAATCATTTTGCCCTCCTTGCCAGTGGTCTGCACCAGACAAACATATCATCCAAGAATTCAAAAGACCGCCGAACCACGCTCCACGTGTTTTGCTCGCGACCAAATCTAGGCGAGCCAGAGACCAAGGATTGGTTGGCCCGAGGTTTAGACTTCACATCTTTTCTTCCGATCCCTTTCACCCCTGCAGAGATCCCCCTCAAACAATCAAAGTGGAGCAGTTTCAACTCAACCAAACCACTTAAACTCTGGCACCAGCTGGCCAACTTGACGTCCCCACCTCAATGAGGCTTGCAGCCACAGCGCCACTCTGCGCCGCCTTTTTCGCTGGAAGCACGCCCAAGCCCGTTGGATCTTCACAGCGGCCAAGCGCCCTCCACCGGTGTCTCTGCGTCCGTCGGTCCGGTGACGTCTCCACCTCGTGGGCGCCTCCATCCGGCGCTCCGCTGGTGGGTCCGCAGTCCGGCGCTCTTCCGCTCCGTCCTCGGCCTCTTGGGCTCGTGCAAAGTCGCGCGCGTGCTGGAGGCGCTCGAAGGTACTGCTGCGGCGCAGGGCGAAAGGATCAGATCCTGCACGGCCAGCGGGGAATGGTCACCCATGATGTGATCATCATGGGTTACCCATGTTGGTCACCCAGAAACTTCTGAAAGCCCTGTGTGTGTGTCCCCCTCTGTACTTAAGAGTTCTTCCACCCAGATGTTTCGAGCAGGGGGACCAGGCATCTCGTCTAACAAAGCTAGGCAGCGAGATGGGAAGCACTGAGAGACGTCTCAGTGTGTACCTGCAAACTGAACTTTTGCTCAAGCTGTCCAAGTTGCTCTGTTTGGTTCCATGGTTCTTCATGCTACCACACCCGAAACCTCAGTTTTTTTCTGCAGCTGCACCGCGCTCGCTGAGTTCCGCAGTCACGAGGAAAACCACTTTGTTAAAACACCTTCAAGTGCCTGGACGCTTCACCTTTCTGTTCCATCACCTTTCTTCCACCTGGGAACTGAGTTAACTGCAAACCCAATGTCAGAGTGTGTGCCGCTCTGCCGTCCCACTTGGGTGCAGGGTGTGATCCCCGTCACTGGGGCGCTGTCTTCAGTCCGGATTACCGTCTAACTGATTCAGCGGTTTTCTGCACACGTTGGATTCTCTTAACAGATTTTCGTTTCACCACTGTATTTCCAAAAAACCTACGCCGCCGGGCTCCACGGATTACCCACTGATTTGATCCGCTTTCACAACTGCATGTTCACGTTTTCGTGGCCAGTTCTCAATTTCAAGCTTGTACAGGACCGATTTATCAGCCATATCACTTCACACCACTTCCAGCTCCTTCCACACTAACTACTTTATCCTTCACTTGCATGTTCCTGCATGTTTTAATTCGACATTTGCATTGAGTCTTACCACATACTTCAATATCTCCAACCTTGCAGCTGCTTGCGCCGCCCCGATCGCCATTTTCAGCAGCTGCCTTTTGCTTGGTGTCTTGCAGACGACTGTGACACGTTTTCACGAAATGCAGTTTCCATGGCCATTTCCTTATGCACCACCTCAACCTCCTCCAAACCACTCATTTCCGATGCTGCCGACTCCACATCCAGTACCACCACATGTCAGCAAGCTTACTCTCCATCTCTTCCTCCGACCATTCCTCACTCCACTCCCACCGACAGCAGAACCCTGCCATCCGCCTCCTCCACAGTCACTACACATCCCATGCTCCTGTCACCTTGCCCTCCCCGGTGACTACCTTCACCCAATTGGCGGCACACCGGCTCGCGGGCGCTCACAGACACCTCCCCGTACACGGGCCCACAGCAGGCCCCGCACAGACGCACCACGCAGAGGCTATGGCATCGACACAACCACCCACTTCCTCAGACACTTCCCCTGCTTTCACTCAGCAACCTCCGGCGGGCTTTCAACCACATCACCCACTTCCCGTTTTCGGCACGGCATCTCCAACTCCTCCACCACCTATGCGGACGCCACTGACCCGACCCCACGCAGCCAGCTTTTGCACCACCTCATCAGGCACCCACCCAACCGCATTCCTGGTCCACACCCATGTGCTACTACCAATTTCAACCACCATTCAGCCTTTTCCGCAGAACACACCACCAGTCCGCCTTCTGCCACCAACCAACCCACACCATTTCGATGCTGCGGGCCGCGCACTCCCTCCTGGTCAACAACCTTACGAGCCGGAGGGTGATCCATGGCACGCTGATAATCACTGAACGCGCTGTTCACATTTCAGCAGTAGCCCCCTGAGTCCTGCAGGATGGGTTTCTCATCTGCTTTCATCCCCTTCACCTGTTAACTACTTTCCACTGGGTTTCATGCTCTAGTACTTTTTGTACGTAAGACTGGCAAGTCAAGGGCTATCGATATCAACTACTGCTGTTGCGGAATCTTGGTCTCACGCCGCACCACGTCCAAAAAACTGACCGCTTGCGCCTGATTGAAATACATTTCACCAGTTCTTGTTTTACGTTAGACTGTACAGCCCCATCTATGGCACTCAACACACATCTCCTTGACCCTTTGCTTTTGCACTGTGAGGTCTTTTCGTTCTTTCACTTGGGAATTTAGCTGCATTTCACCCACTTTCCTCCCCCACAGCTGTTTTGCTCGAACTCGCTCGCTCCGCCCCCCTTTGCCACCCGTCCTCCTGATCTCCGACATGGACGCGTATTGGCAACAGTACTATTGGCAGCACTACCTCCAGCAACAGGCGCAGACCACAACAGCGCCTTCTCAGTACGCACCAGCCCACACATACGGGCCGATGACGCACGCCATTCGCACACAACAGGCACACCACCACCACCACCACCACCACCACCATCCTTACCAAACTCCTCCACCTGCTCAACCCACTCACAACAACTCTCCTCCATCGCACCACGACTTTCCTCCACCTCCGTCCCCCAGCACCGTTTGATTGATGCCGCCCATTCCCTCATTCAGGAATGGCACAACCAGCAATCCACCCACACCATCACCATCGACACCCAAGCCACAGGCAACCCCCGTCACCACTCCCACATTGGGCGTCACCACAAGCGACATCCCACACAACGCACAATCCACACCTCCGACATCACCACCATTGTCACCTTTGCACTCAACACCTGCATTTTCCGGGCTTGGTAACCACACCTACAAGCAAATCCGGGGCGCTGGGAGTCTGCCATCACACTCATCGAGCACTCCTGGCAACAACTCCACAACAATTTGCTCCACCACACCAACCTACACTTCACCTACTACAACCGCTTCATTGTCCACAACGAACACTTCCTTTCCCACCCAGCCATACAAACAGCAACAGACTCACCCTATCCGGCCTTGCATCCAGACTCCACGCCATCTACACCTACACCTACCCGCCACAAGCAGCTGCTGCCGCGGCCGATGAGCTCGTTCAGCTATACGTCCTGAGGGGACATGCAGCAATAGACTGCCATCGATTTTTGAAGCCGAAAAACTGCTGACCACCTCTCCACTTGCGCCGGCGACGGCACCGTGTGTGTGTCCCCCTCTGTACCTAAGAGTTCTTCCACCCAGATGTTTCGAGCAGGGGGACCAGGCATCTCGTCTAACAAAGCTAGGCAGCGAGATGGGAAGCACTGAGAGACGTCTCAGTGTGTACCTGCAAACTGAACTTTTGCTCAAGCTGTCCAAGTTGCTCTGTTTGGTTCCATGGTTCTTCATGCTACCACCCCCGAAACCTTGGTTATTTTTCTGCAGCTGCACCGCGCTCGCTGAGTTCCGCAGCCACGAGGAAAACCACTTTGTTAAAACACCTTCAAGTGCCTGGACGCTTCACCTTTCTGTTCCATCACCTTTCTTCGACCTGGGAACTGAGTTAACCGCAAACCCAATGTCAGAGTGTGGTCAACCTGTGGTTTTCCATCACGACTGGCGGGGAAGATGCCTCCAGTGTGTAGATCTGGAAACCGCCGTCTGGATCGAAGATCACTGAAGGATGTGAACTGAGGGATTTCGGCCGTGTTGGGATGTGAACTGAAGCTCGCTGGATCAAAACTTGGCATGCAGTCGGGAATGGCATTTGTCATGAAAGCATGCCTTCAACCTGGTCGGCATGCTGAATTTTGAAAGATGGGACAGTTGTCAACTTCCTGTTCAATTCTCTGCTGTTGCTTGGTGGGAATGGTGAAAGCTCGCAAACGGTACTAGCGCTAGGGTTTAGTCACCCGGGTTTGCAGAAAGTCACCCGGCCGCATGGAAACGCAGCATTAGTCAAAAGTCACCCGGCTCGCGAAAAGTCACCCGGTTTATGTTAAAACACAATGTAAACGCCCTACGGAAGCATGTTTGTCAAAACTGCTATACATCAAGAATTCACTGCCCCTGTGCAGGAAACAACTAGTTTGATGTCGAAGTTTGCAGCGTTTTGGTGACCAAACCCCAATCAGAACGCAAGGTTAGGACTATGGTGAAGATTACCCCCTAAACATAGATGCAGCATGCTGCCCTGCTTGCTTTGCTCTTCAAGAGCTGTGCATTAATGACCTTCATGTGGAAAAGATCACTAAAGGAAACATGGTGAGGCTGGCGCGAGTGCCACGCGAGTCTTTTCGACCCTGTCGCGAGTGCCGCGCGAGTCCCATGCAACCATGTACCCACGCCCCATGTACTCACGCCCCATGTACCTAATGGTGTTGAACTGACGCTCCAAAGCTTATATTCCAATGAGGGTGACATCTTGCATCTAACCCCAATGGAAACGCAGCATCCAAACAATGTTG